AGGAAGGAAGGAAGGAAGGAAGGAAGGAAGGAAGGAAGGAAGGAAGGAAGGAAGGAAGGAAGGAAGGAAACTTTATTCAAACAAATACCAATATTGGTACATTGAATACCTACATATACATTAGTTACAAAAAATAAAATATAAAAAACACATTACAGATAGATGAACTATAATATCGAGATTTGGGGCATCTAGCTCCATAGAACTTACTAATTGAAGGAATTTTGTGTCTGGAAATTTGTTCTGCTTTTCAACACTTCATTAATTTAATAGCACGTGCTTTCACCATCTGCATGTGAATAGAGCCGCATGTTCCTTGAAGAATAATGACAACAAAAGACTTAGTGAAATCACTGAAATGTACAGGGTGTCCCCACAACCCAAAACTATTGAAATAACTTATTGTTATGAATGCCCCGGCCTGGTACTAAGCTGAACGCAAAGATGCGTAAGATATTGACTATATAAGAAATTAAAATATCTTTGTAAAACGCACGATTTTCTGCATGCTCTTGGCTGTATCAGTCAAGCTTTTATGCACTTGTGGGGTTCAGCAGAGTGCTGATGCATTCAAGTTCTAACAATACGTTATTTATATAGTTTTGTTATATGATTTATTCTATCATGCACTTTCATTTCAGACTTTCGTTATGCCTGGGCAACAAGTTTCAAAAGTTGATCGAAGAAAAATCGACTCAAAGTTCTTCTGTTCGAAATGTGGGCTGTTGCTGAATGAACCGATGCAAACCCCATGTGGACATTTAATGTGTAAAAGTTGTGTCCAAGCTATTTTGAGGTAATTTTGCCGTCACTATAACATATTGTTTAGAATGATGACTCGTCTTCATGGCGGAAATCGGTGACGAATTCGCATACAGCTAACCGTACAAATGCCGTGTGAGCAAATATAAGCGGACGAAGTTACGCCATACATACGGTTCTGGACTCGTCCACGTGCGGACGTGCCTTGTGGACATTGTCATTGAGAGCTACTTCATTTGTTTATATTACCCAGCAAGGCGTGTTAGGCATGAGACAGGGACGAAGTCAAACCGGAATGAAAATTGAAATTGTCAACATGTTTACATGAGACCGGTACGAAAATCTTAAAATTTTCAATTTCTTCCCCTTGCCAAGCAATTTTCTTTTTTAGATGGCTTTTGTTAGCATGTGTTGTTCCAATGTCAAGGTTACATCCGAGACCGGTCTGAAATGTATTTGTGTTTACATTCATCCCAGTCTGAATTCATGCCGGTGTCCCAGGATTTTCGCCCCCCCCACATTTTCGCCCCCCGGTGTCAAGCAAAATTCTTGACCTCCGCGAAATACCTGACCAAACGTAACGGGTCAGAATATATGACGCTTGCTAAATTTTAAGTCCACCAAAACCGTTTTTTAATTGAAGATTAGATAAAATAATCATGATCGATGTTAATTTCTAATACTTCGTTAAATATTTCAAATCGACATCACATAAATTTCAAAGCCAATTGTGTGGTCGTGACCACGAAATACACGACGTTTCCTAAATACGGTCGGACGAAATGATTTTTAAGTCCATATGCGATGTTATCAAGTGTTTCTAATACAGTATACACATAGCCAAATCTAAATCGAACTCATTGCTGCTGCTTTCTAAATATTGAGAAGGTCAAACGCGAAACAATTTTTGGTGCTAAAAGTAATTTATATAGCATCACCTTTCAAACTGGAGTCTATTTTATATCCCTAACAGCGCTTTTCGACTGACTTTTTCCATTCGCAGATTTTAGATTCAAGCTCTATTATCGCTGAACGCCAACGTTCACAGTCAGTGGTATAGTGTC